TGCTCCCTTTTTTCCGGCCCCCGCTCCCCCCACCCCCCCGAGCCATCCGGGTCCGGCTGCAGTTGCAAGCCAGAGCCGGCGCCGGCCGGGCCCCCTTGGCACTGCAGAAGCCGCCGCTGGTGCGCCCTGCTTTATTCCACAGCTGACCTGGGGGAGGGGAGGGTACGCTGCAAAAACCGGGACACTCCTCTGCTCCCCCTTCCCCTGTCACGCTCAGCCTCAGACTACGTTTACTTTGCGGGGCACGAAGCGTGTGGCCCCATTCCGGGGCGCTTTCGGCTCCACTTACGGCGACAATGCCTCCTAGCGCCCTGCGCAGCGCAGTCACGCTCCCTCGGCCGCCGCTGGCGCCCCATGCAAGGTTCCAGCCGGGAGGGCTGGACGGGGCTGCGGGCTCTGCGCGCACAGCTGCTCGGCCAATCGCAGCGCCACGACAGGCGCCGGGGCGGGAGCCGGCCCTGGGCCCGGGCAGCAAGCCACCAATCAGTGCGCGCCTCCCGGCGGCGGCGCGCGCCCGAAGGCGGCCGGCGCGCTCCCGTCCTGAGGGACGAACCGCTTTGTGTGCGCCTTCTGGAGGGAGACTCCTTGGGATGGCGCTGGTGTAGACCGGAACGTGCAACACGTCCCAGGATCACTATCTTCTCTCCCTTCCTTGGCCATGTGAGGCTGGGGGTTTGGCTTTCTTAAGGGAATGGAGTCGAATTGGTCAGATCGGGGATATTTCGAAAACGGGAAGATGGAAACTAGGGAACTTTTCGTGTAGATACCTTTGGGCGCCCATCCAGGTTTTTAGAGAGGAAAGTTCTGGCTACATTAAGTCACCTCACCTTTCTAAAGCCCAATGTTGTCATCTAAAGAATAAGAATTAAAATACATAAATATCTACTTCCTGTGGATACTGTGGGGATTAATGCATGGACTGGGTAGTGCGGTGTCCATGCCAGGCTGCGATAGGCACTCCGGTAGAGGGAGCTGTTCCGTAGGCCTTTTAGGGAGGACCTTCATATACCCTTTACTGGACAATATGGGAGGCTGAAACGTGAGTCCTGGCCTCAACCAGTGACGTGGATAAATGTGTCAAATGCTCTAACAAACAGAGGCGTGTATTAAGTGTGTGTGTGGGGGGAGTCCTGGAGATATTTTTATTCTTAAAAATTATTTCTATTTAATTTTTTTTTTAATTTGACCAAAGAGAGAGGGAAAGTGAGAAAGTAAAAGAGAGAGGGAAAGTGAGAAAGCAAACTGGCAGGTCCCACTCGAACTGGCGTTGGCCATGTGGAAGTTAGCACCTCAACCACCACATCACCTCCCTTTAATTCAATCAAGGGGATACCTGGGCAGTCACATTTTTGAGTCCTGGGCAGGCCTAAGAACCTTATGTAGCTTCCCGATGTCATCACCTTTCCAGCTCTGCCACGTATATACCAAGTACCAGATACACAAAAGTCTTCAGAAAGTTTATGGAAAGAGTACTATGGAAAAACTACTCATGGATTTCAAATGCTTTGGGACCAGAATAAACTAGTTCAGTTCTACTTTTCCACATACTTTTGAATCTTCTTATAAATAGCAAAGTAGATATTGCTAGTCCTGTTTTGTTCAAAACCCACTGACATTTTCAGTCAATACATGGATGTCTTCCCTCCCTTGCTAGGCCATGTGCAGACCTGAGGCAGTCGATACGGGGTTTCCATGCACATAATAAGGACACAGTAAATGCTGCTGACAGAGTCCAAGCCTACAGCTTTCCCCACTCATGCTTTACCCTACCTAGTCCCTTCTCCCAAGAATTTCTTCCAGGACCTTCCAACTCCACATGGACAAGACTCCCAGCTCAAATGTCACCTTTTCTACTCCTCCTATGTTTGTTGCTCCAGCGCACTTACCGCATCATACCCATTATTGCAATGCCTCTGCAGGAGTCTTTTCTCTGCCTGATTTCAAATGAACCAGAGTTTGGCACACAGTCGATGTTTGTATCAGTCAGCTTTTGCTATATAACAGAATGCCCCCCCAAAAAACTTAGAAGAGACTTAAAACAACAACAACTTATTTAGTTTATGATGTTATAGATCAGGATTTCAGGCTGGGCTTAGCAGGGCAGTTCTGGCCTCAGTTGGACTCTCTGTACATCTGGAGTTAGCCACCAGGTAGCCAGAGGCCTCTGCTTCTAGGCGGTGGTAGCTGTCAACTGAGGCAAGCGGCACACATGTCTTTGATCTATCAGCAGGCTGGCCTGGGCTTGCTCACGTGGGGCTGCAGGGTTCTGAGAGCAAGAGACAAAGCATGCAAGTTCTGTCCAGGTCAAGGCTCCAGACTGGCACTCCTTGACTTCCACAGTCGTGCTGAATAAACCAAACTGCAAGGTCAATGGAGATTCAAGGGCAAGGAGCAGCAAAGTCACACTGCGAAGAGCAAGAACTGGGTAAGTAAAGAACTAGGGCTAATTTTAAATGTACCATAGTATTAATAAATATTCTCAGAGGGGGGCCAGCAAGTGGCGTGGTGGTTAGGGTGCTGGATTCCCACATAGCCAATCTCAGTTTGAGTCCTGGACCTGAAAATCATGACAGGCACATCTGTGTGTGTGCCCAAAACCCCAGGAGGAGAATGGAGGAGAAGGGATTGTGGCATGGTTATCTTCACTGGGAAGTGATTTCTCACTTTCCTTCTTACTGTCTCTGTCTCTGGTGAGCACACACACCCCATAGCAAAAACCTAAAAATAATACTACTAACACAAATATTCTCAGAATACCTAGCACATGGTAGTTGCTCAGTAAATATTTATGAAAAGTGCTAAGATTGGGATTAGTAGATGTCATAATGGTTACGTCGCTGGACTCCCACCTAGTAGACTACGGTTTGAGTCCCAGACCCAGCAGCTTAAAACTCACGCTGGGTATGTGTGCATGTGTGCCCAAGATCCCAAGAGGAGAATGGAGGAAAAGGTATTGCAGTGTGACCATCCCCCAGGAGATGGTTTCTCACATTCTTTTTTAGAATTATTTTATATAACTTTACTTATTTACTTATTTACTTTAATTTGACCAGAGAGAGACAGAGTGCATGCAGGAGAGAGAGAGGGAAAGTGAGAAAGCAAGCCACCTGGTTTGGGACTCGAACCATGGTCAGCCATGTAGGAGTCCAGCACCCTTAACCACCATGCCACCTGCTGGTCCCAAGTGACTTCTCACTTTCTGATTCTCTGTCTCTCTAGTGAGTGCATGCACCCTATACCAAAATTCTCTCTAAAAAAAAAGAAAGAAAGAAAGAAAGAAAGAAAGAAAGAAAAAGAAAAAAGTGCTAAGGCTTTCTTTTTTGAGAGATTTCTGCTATAGGGTGCTTGTGCTTGCTGAAGAGACAGAGGGCAAAAAAATCACCGTCCTCCCCGCCAGAGGGGATGGCCACACCGCAATCCCTTCTTCTCCATTCTCTTTTCAGGATTTTGGCCAAGCATGCACATGCCTGGCATGAGTTTTAAGCTGCTGGATCCGGGACTCCAGATGCCGTCGTCACATGGGAGTCCAATGCCTTAAGCACCACGCCACCTGCATGTTTACAGACTTCATTCAGTGCCATCGACTGGAAGGATTCCATCCCTTGATGCTAGGGTCTAACATCTTCAGTTTCAGAGCAGCAAATGAGGGGTCAAGAAGGTAGTGCTGTGCAGGGAAAGCCCCAGTGTGGCTTTTCAGTAAAGCAGTAAAACAGCTCAGCGGGCTCCAAACACGCTCCTCTGAAGAGATCCACCACACCAGGAGATCTAGACCTGTTAGGAGCCTGCTTTAAGCCTGACTTCCTGAGTCGGAAGCCAGACACCCTTCACCTGTGAACAGAGAACGTTTCTAATTGGGCCCTAAATCGGTATGACTGGTTCCCTTATACAAATGGGGGGTTTTGCTTGTGTGTTTTGCCAGAGGATATGTGCACTCACCAGAGAAAGACAGAAATGGAGAGAAAGAGGAAAAAGAACCCCTCAATTGGACGTGGTCATGCAACAATACCTTCTCCTGTATCCCTCCATCAGGATTTTGGTCCTACATGCACATACTCCCGGCATATTTCTCACGTCTCTGGGTCTGGGACCCCAGAATGGTGCAGTTGGCTACATGGGATCCCACCCCCTTAACCAGTAGGTTATGAAGCCAGTCCCAAAAAGAAGAAATTTGGGCATAGAGAGAGATGCACAGGAGGAAGACAATGTGACGCGATAGAGACAGCCATCTGCAAGCCAAGGAAAGAAGACTGGAACAGATCCTCCCCTCACAGTTCTCAGAAGGAGCCAACCCTGCTAGTGCCTTGATCTGGGATTTCTAGCCTCCAGAACTGTGAGGCAGTGAATTTCAGTTACTAAAGCCACACAATTTGTGCCACTTTGTTTCAGTAGCCATAGCAAACTAATACAAGGCCAAATCTCTTCTTTTCCATTTTATTCTTAGCCCTTACCTCCCATCTCTTGAGGGGAAAGTACATGTAGATAGACACTAAATGTGAAGTGTCATTGGCATGTGTGAGTCAGCACCCCATGTGTCATCCTGTGCCTCCTTGGGTCCTCCACTTGGGGCCACACCTCTGCTGTAGTTGAATTATCAACAACCAGGAACTCGAGGTCACTCCAAGTTACCGCCATTCAAATGTGGGGAAAAAAATTCATCTAGACTCTCTCCTAAAAGGTTCAGCCTGGTGAGACCCTCCTGCCACGTACTTCAGAATTTACAAAAACAAGCAAACAACAATCAGTACCCTCAGGGTGCTTGCGCTCTGCTGTGGGAGATAAGGTTCATACAAAAAGTGATGGCAGAGAAGCATTCCTCAAGCTTCAGTCATTGTTGTGCTGCCTTCCTGATTTGGGCTGTATCTGAGCCCCACCCAGTGTTGAACTTAAATCACTTGCACAGGCTCAGAGAACTTGCTCATTCTGCACATCTTTTCCTAACTGCCTTCGGAGCCATCACCTTGATTACTTGAAATAGGCATGGTGGAGGCCAGCAGGTGGTGTGCTGGTTGGGGCACTGGCCAACCACAGCTCGAATCACAGACCTGGTGGCTTGCTTTCTCACTTTCCTTCTCTCTCTCTCTCTCTCTCTCTCTCTCTCTCTCTGGTGAACGCATATGCCCTGTGGCAAATTTTTTTAAAAAATAATAATTTAATTAAATAATTATTTTTTAAAAAATAAAGAACTAGGCATGGTGGGAAAATTTACACCATGGAAATCAACACACACTACAAATCAGAATATTCTCTCCCTCAAAAGAAGGTTTATCATCACACTATACTATTATTTACTTTTTTCTTTAAATTGTCTCACTTTTTAACTTCAAAATGTTTTTAAAAGAAATTTTATATCATTTTAAAAAGAAATTTT